TTTTACCATTGTTTTGTGGCGTACGTGCTGATTAATTAGAGTGTGTAGAGTGTAAATGTGGCCAGTAATACCGTGATTTGGTAAAAAGCCAATATGGGTTTGCTCAGGGGAATGTTTTCAATAAATAAGGCCAGGAACCAGGCATTGATAATACTGGGGGATTGACTCTGCTTACACAAGTGGCTTAGTAGTACGTGCGGTCTGATATTTCTCAGCTCTGTAGTGGGGATAAAAAAGCCCCAGGCTCCACATCTCAGGAAAACAACCAGACTATAGAAGTGTCGGGAGAATGAAACTAAACAACTGAAGCAGGGCCTGTTTCAGCTGAGCGCTGCTGTGTTTAAGCACGTCTATTGGCTTGATTTAGTTGTTGTTGTTGTGAGTGTTGTGAAATTGGAAATGTTGTGTCTGAGATGACGACAATTAATCTTGACATCAGCTGATGTTGGGCACTCCTTTTCTGTACTCAGGTTAGTCTTAATTATTAGATGGTCTGTGGAAATCATGAAATGTTCTCTAAGTGGCACCTTTTTCTTTTAGTGAGGTGACTTTCATGCTGAAATACCGCGACGCTCACAACCATCACTGCAAAGAGAATAGCACCATTTTGATTTTGGTGTATTGATTTCTTTTAGATCGTTACTAATATCAGTATTTAGGCCAAAGCAAGGCCATTATCAATATTGCTGTTCAACCATACGTTATTTTCACCCAGAGAATTGCTGCTCACTCAATCTTTTCTCTTTTTCAGACCATTCTTTGTAAATCCCAATAGATTACTGTTAAAGCAGGTATACCTAATGAAATGGCCGGTGAGTGTATATAAATAATAATAATTATTATTATTTTAAGCCCCTTTCAAAACAAAGATCACACATGAGTAAAATAAATAAATAAATAACAAAACAATGAACAATAATGTCCACCAAGTTAAAATCATTAAGGATTCATGTGACATGTGGAAGACAATCAGAGTGAGTAAGCCAGTTTGCAGAGCTGCTTTAAAAAACGGATTGAATAAAATAACAAAAGAGTTTTTCTAAATAAACACCTAACACTGATCATTGAGACCCATTCAAATTTAAAATATATTAGTCTGAATGAAAAAAAAATTAAAAACTGAGAAAAAATGTAGAACATAAATCGGTAATCAATCCCAGAGCCTCGCTCATAACCTATTAATAACGCAGTCCTGTCCACCTGCAGAGCAGCTGCCTGACTCCTGACATGCTACATTAATAGAAAGTTGAACCTGTTTTAGTGCCTTAGAGTTTGTAGCTCTTAGTTCAGAAACTAGTTTAGCTAACTTTGCATGTATTTTCCGCTGGAGCAGAGAGCATCTACGCAGCAAACAGGATTGAGTTGACCTCCTCTGCCCTTTTCTGACACTGTTTCCATCTCCCTTATTTATTTCCACTGATGCAGCTAAGAGCATGTCGTGATTCGATGGGGAAAATGATATCTTGACTCATGGGGGATTTTTAAGTGATGATTGAATTCTTCGAGCTCTACAGGCTCGCACTAATATTAACTAAAACACTGTCACCAATGAATCTTGTGGTTAATTAATTATAGATTGCAGCCTAAACAAATTCTTTGTGTGTGTGTGTGTGTGTGTGTGTGTGTGTGTGTGTGGGAGGGGGCATGTTTAAGTGTGTGTGTGTGTGTGTTCTGGGTTGTTCATTAAAGTGTCTTGGATTTTGCATTAGTCTGAATCATACAATGTAGCTTGTAACTCACGGTGAAGAGAGCAACATGCCAAAGAGGTACAGTGCTCGGTATGTTTTTTAAGTCCACTGTCAGATGGGCAGAGCGTGTATTTTCTCTCCCTTTTTTTTTGTTAACTGATGGCAGGTCTCTTTCACTCTCTCTCAGTTGTGTCCCAGTCCTTGGGTTTTTTATTTCCTCGACGGGACCAGTCTATATTCTGCAGTCAAGGTTATGATCTGGATATTAAGCGAACCCAGCTGATTTGCCTCAGGCGACTGTGTACTCCTTAGAGAAGCATGAAGACGGGGCTTCAGGCCACCGTGTTCTGTTTCTATTTCCCTCCCCTAATGTTAGCCTGAGCCTTGTTCTGCTCCAATTGAGATGCATTACGACTGTTCAGAAAATCAGCGCTCCCATCAGCGTTGTCTTGGAAACTGTTGAGCTTATCAAGCCTATATGACCCAAGGACAACTCGTACACCTGAATAGCACCGTCTCTGGTTTTCCTCTTAAGGAAGCTTCAAAAAGGCAGCATGTTTAGACACTTTTAGAAACAAAATACACCTGGTTGTATATTATGATTTTTAAAAAACAAAACAAAACAAAACTGCTATACAGAGGGTCCACATTTGTCGTTTAACATATTTAGCAGGACAAACTTTGTGTTTATTAGTAACACTCATCATCTCTTTCATTTGCCCTCAGTCACGTACAGTATTATCTCCCTGCCTTCCTCTGAATATTCTTTTATACATATAAACATGAAATCCCTAGAAGGGAGGATCCTCGCTCGCAGTCATAAATTCTAAAGCGAGTGAAGTGCTGGATCCTCTTGCTGAGTTTTTCCAAATGGTTGTGAGAAATAGTGGTTGTGCAATCTCTAAAGGGGGATTAAGCCTGTGGAGAAAAGGAGAGGAGGGGAAGATGAAGAGAGACACAGAGAAGGATGTGAAGGAGGAAATTGTGTTTTTGTAGGGAAGTAGTGATGGCAACCGCTATTGAAAGGAGAAAACATCACTAAGAGAGAAACGGGAGGGAGTGGGGGTGGGGCGGCTGGGAACGAGAGTGCATGATGACCAGGATGGAGGTTTAAAAGAAAGATGGAGGAAGTGCAGTATGCTAATGGCTTAACAAGAACAATGGAGAGTTGTGGGTCTGTTTAACGTCATATGAAACCAGGCTGTTTAAAAGAGACTTCAAAGAGACTAGCACCCAACATAAACTAAACTGACAGACACTCACACAGAGAGGCAGAGCCCAGAGCACCAGGGAGACCGGAGGTGTCCTCTGCCATGCCTGATTAGAAATACAGTGAGTGGAGAGGCATGGCTGAGAGACAGCAGTAAGCAGGAGTGTGTGCGTGCGCGTGCTTTTATTTAATGTATCTGTTGCTTGAAGCACTGCGGTCTACATTCTCTGTGATCAAATGGCATCTCCGGAAAGAAGCTGACATCCATCCGACAGCATTTTTGACATGATGCTGTGAACAGGAATATGTAAGTTTTTCTGTGATGGAAAGCTCCGATGTTGGTGTCTGTATTCGTATAAGAGCTCTGCTATGTATGTGTTGCACCAGAAATGGTGAAGAGAGAAGTATATCCAAGATTCTGCTACATTGTGTGGTTTTGTGTTGTTGTTTCATAAAGGTCAAGCAAGGCCGACGCAGTCTAGCAGCTGTCAGTGAAACAGAACGGACGGAGATTGCAGAGCGAGTACTGAAATTCAGCCTTCCTGCTAGTCCTGGAATTTGAACAAGTTTGAGAGGACGGAAAAAAGTGAGATAAACAGTCTGGTAAATTCCTTCAGGATATCCGGGGGAATCTGAATTTTCCAAATCGTTATTTTCCAGGAATCTACTAGGAACGATTTTATAACTGGCATGTTTTGTTTTATGATGGTTTTCAGTCCAAATTGTGACAAAAGACCAAGCTGGGTTTGAGTTTAAAGTGCATTACAGATGTGGTCAGGTCCTGCACCGTGGCTTACAGGAAAAAACAACAGAAGATAACATCAGCGGTAAAGCAAATGTGAGAGCTATAAAGAGATACAATAACACATCCTATAGCATGGTGATTTTGTAAGTGCACTCAGCTTTTTCACCAATATCGCTGCACAAACCTCTAGCACCTCTGCTGTGAACCATAACTAATGTTAGTAATGTGAACATACTGCACAGTTCAACACTCAGTACGGTAGCAGCTTTACAGAACGCAGCAACCCCTGTAGCTCTCCTTCAGTCACGCATGAGTGCAGACTGCCAGATGCCACAATGATCACCTATTAAACATTAGTTTCTTGTATAACTGTATATAAAGATGTTAAGGACAATAGCAAGACTGTATATAAAAGATAGACCTGGAGATGATTTTGAAGTCTTGGGTTTGGCATTTTGCCCGTTGTGTCTTTGGCTTTTTGGAGCCAGTTAAAAGAGAATGTAATGAATGATTATGTTATTATGGTAACTAATGCTAGAAAGGTTTTTTGCATCCACACTCACATATGTGTGCTAATTAGTTTTAACATCTTACTATAATACAAAAAATCTGTGCAAACAAATTTGCCACACAGATGCATTGTAGGCCCCTTGACGAGCTTTATCCATATCAGACATCATGGTGTCATTATGTGTCCTAGCAACCACTAGGCTAAAGTGGCCCATTTTTAGCATGCAGACCTTATCTAAGCGACCATCTAAAGTATATCAGTCTGCAGAGAGCATGAACAGGTCAAACTGTACAGTAGTGTGAGTAAAACAAAACTAAAAGATCCTCACACTCTAAATGGTTCTATTTCCCGCTGTCAGAGAAGTGCGGTAAATTTGCTTTAACACCACAAACATGATCTAGAAGTCCAGTTCTGTTACTTGATTAGCTGCAGTCGATTAGCCCGTCAGTAGCCACCAGTAACTAAAGGCAGCCACTGCATTAATTATGACTTAATTAGACCCTAATAGAACATAATTTGTTGGTTATGTAAAGATTCGCTTCCTGTACACATGCTGCCTTTTCAAAGAAAAGTAACGGAGACCAAACATTTTCTTTGTACCAGATTGTAAAGATGTTTATTTCTGGTATAGCTCTGGAGGTTTTAACATCCAAAGAGCTTCACTTCCTGGTTTGAGTATTTGTTTTTTCATCCCAGGTCAGGAAGTTTCCATTTGATGACAATTAAACAGTTTTTATTTGTTATATTACCGGTAATATTTTTCTATCATTCATACAGAAATACGACATTTACATTTTTATTCACATTCACATTTTTTCTGCTGTTTAGTGGCAATATTTAAAACACAGTTATTTTTCTACGTCTTAAAGTAGTCCTTCACAAATATGATAGATTAAACAGTAATGATATACACAAAACGTATTTGTCTGAAGTGTGTTTTATGTATAAATATCTATGATTTACATATCTATGTTAAGCTCTATGTTACTAGCTTACAATATCCCACTTACTATATCCTCACAAGAGATTTTCCCTGAACTTGCTTTTCCCCTACAGATATTAAAAACAGATGTTTAATGTTTATTTTAAAATGTTTTTATTTCTTATTTTAAAAAAAATCTTGTAATTAATATTTATTTTGTGTGTCTGATGTTATCTAACGGAGCTGCAGAAGTGATGGTCAGGAAATGTTTCTAAAGGCTGATATGAGGTGGTTTGCAATAAGTGCTTTGTTTTCTTTTATACCTTACTCAAACTGAAACTGGTCGAGTGGCTAAGTGGGAACGTATAAACTGATGTAACATGTTACATTTTAACCTTGTCAAAAGTTGGTGGTGGTGCAGCAGTTCAATAGATTTCATTGGATGTTTTTTTCTCTCCCCAGGGGGTGAGAGATCACAGTTAAGCGTGTATGTGCTGGTGGATGGATGCCCTGCACCAATTTTTTTTTCTTTCGCGTGTGAACCTGAGAGATAAAATCTTGCAAAGTAACAAAACGCTGTGAAGTAGAAGACAAGCTGACAAGACCTTTTTTAATTTACGCCTCCAGTTGAGTCAGCTTTTAATCCGAGAACAGTAATTTGCCCAACTCTGCTGGAGAGTACATTAGTGATGATTATTGATAAGATTTCATCAATACCAGTGTCATTATTGATTCTGCTAATAGGCCTTATTCTTTATCTATTTGCTTATCTATTCTTGATCAATTTTCTGTGTGAGGAAAAGGCCCACAAATGTTTTATTATTTGAAACAGAAGCAGGATAAAAACGGCTTTCATGTGTGCACTGCGCTGAGTCTGATGCCATAATTTCTTACTCTGGAGCTGCATCTGATAGATTAGATATTCTAGTTCTCGAATCCCATCCCTGGACTACATATATGCACATCATATACGGAGAGTACAGCTCTAACCTGAACACTAAAACTACTTGACTCACAGGAACAGAAGTCTGAGGAAAGACAAACAGTTAAATCTTCCCTCTTGTTTTCTGCTGTACACGGCACTTTGTGCTTCCAGAATCCTATCAGGTGGAATTTAGAAACGCTGCTCTGCAGTTCTCTTATTTCCCTGGCTGCTAAACAAACCTAAACTAAGCTAAGCTAAGCTAGCTGTGCACAAACACCGTTTTTTTCCCTCCCGGGGGCACGAGAGAAATCACCGTGGCCAAATTAATTTTCTCCCTTCTGCTTGTGCTGCTGCAACCTGAGGGATCATTGAGGCAGAGAATCAGCCAAAGAGAAGGGAGATGGTGCTGAAGGAGAGAAGGAAAGGGGAGCAGTGGAATTTTAATGTGGCTGTGTCTTGTCTCTTGCTGCCTGCCAACGAAAAGCAATTACTATCATAGCTCCCCTCTCTGCTGTGTGTGTGTGTGTGTGTGTGTGTGTCCGTGTGTGTGTGTGTTTGTGCTTACCTTTGAGTGGGTGTCTGACTGCACTTTAGAACACAGGGATTTGGTATGTTAAATGTACAAAGGGTAGATTGGCTCATATCCTGCAGGGTATTTGGGAACACTGATATACTAGATGGTTGTTGTGTAGAACTGGACAGTAGTTAGAGTGTTGTTTAGATATCGTAAAACATTGGTTTTTAAACTTTTTGTGCCCAAAGGGCAAGACAGATTTTCAAGTCACACCTGTATAACAGCCTCTGAGTGTCATCTGAGATGTCATCAGTTCTTTTGATTGCATTTTTTTGCACCACCTGGACCTACCATACAACACCTGTAATATTCTAAAAGAATGTGTCACAAGGTCCTCTGGAATGCAACTTGCCTCCAACACCTTATCAGACACGTTCCCGCAATCCAACAAACAGTTTAGCTTCCTTTGGTTCAAATCCAGCTCTCTTTTTGAAGCGGGCCAAGCGACTCTCAAAAGGGATGTTTGGTTTCCAAGTGCCTCCTTAACTTGCTTGGCATGTCAACCTTAGCCAACTTCTTCTAACAGATGACGCACGCAGGCCAGAGGGCAGGGGGTTGACACAATGAAGCTATAAGATGGCCAGCTTACAGGACACCATCTACATGCAGTTTTCATTTTTCCCTTTTGTTTAGCTGTGGGGTCCTTGGCATTGGTTAGTTGTGGCTAGCTTGCCATAAAAATGAATTCCCCCCCTTGCTGTCAGGTTTTGATGTGTCAAATATTTGTAATATGCACCATCTAGAAACTGTACAAACAGACTTTTCTGGGATTTTGTTTTTTAGTTTATTTTTTAGTGGATAGAATTTGTCAACACACAGGAAATTAAAAATTCATTTGTTTGTCTTTGTGCAGTTGTGTAATGCAATATTTATGTATGGTTGTCACAAAATCCCAAGGCACACTTGGACTTAGTACACTGATGTTCTTTGGCAGCCCCATTCTGGAACCACTGCCTTTAAAAAACAAAACAAAATCGACTCTATAAACAATTATAAACGTTCATTGTTCTTAGATTTATTGCTTTGTTTCTCCAGTAAGACACGAGTCCGTCATTTTGAGAATCTCACTGAGTGTAGAGACGACCACTTAGAGGGGCCCTGATAAAAAGCTTGACAGATAGGAGACAGGAGTCAGGCAGACTGATGGACAGGTGGAAGTGTTTCCAGCACTCTGAGGCTCAGAGCTGCAGGAAGGCTAAACGCTGAGTGGACTGAGTAGAAAGGTGGGAAAGATATGAGAAGAGTTGCCTCCTCTACCATGCTTTCAAAGAAACCCTCTGATGGTAACTACCCCCCACTTCTCACTCTACATTTTCAGGATGCGGAGGTTCGCCTACTGTAAGGTGGTTTTGGCCACTTCTCTGGTCTGGGTGATGCTGGACATGTTCATTCTGCTCTACTTCAGCGAGTGCAACAAGTGTGATGACAAGAAGCCGAGAGGACTGCCCGGGAGAGACGGTGAGGGTGTATCACCACACAAACCCATACACAGACACATTTTTATGGCACTGTCAACCATCAAGTTTGAAAAGCTGAATATGTATCCTCTGTAGACACCATGTCCAGACCGCGAGATGGGCCTGGTGAAGGAGGGAAACCTGTGGTGATCCCTAAAGAGCAGCAGGAGAAAATGAAGGAAATGTTTAAGATCAACCAGTTCAACCTCATGGCCTCGGAGATGATTGCTCTCAATCGTTCGCTGCCTGACGTCCGCCTAGAAGGGTGAGCTGCCTCTCCCAGCAACAAGTCCTGTGTTTTGTCATGATAATAACAATAATACATCTTTTATTAGTGTTATTGTTTTTAAATGGCATGACCTATACAGTATAGCAAAATTAGGTAAACTTTAGATAGGAGATTTAAAGAAATGTCTAGTAAAAATGTCATATCTTAAAATGGGATAACATACAAAAATAAATGTAGGTTAGAAGCACCTCTGAGTATTCATTAGGAAGTTATTAAACTTTGATACTCGGAGAGCAGAGAGGGTGTGGTGCCCTCAAAGATCTCAAGGGAATTTGAACTTCCTGAAAAACAGTCAGGAGTTCCTAATTCGGTATTCATATTGTGTGAAGCAGGGCCTAAATATCCTCTTTGTGTTATGTTGTGTAGTAAGTATAAACATAAATCATTATATGTTAATATTAATAACAGGAAATTATACATGTCAAATCTATCCAGTGCCACCTAAACATCGCACAGACAGCAGAATGTTTTCCAAAGATGTATGATGTTTGGGTTTTGTTTGGGTTTTTTTGTGGTGTTCACAAAGCTTCCCACAATTCATATTATTATTTTCTTTCCAGTTTCAACCAGCTTCTGTTTTTCCTTTTTGCAAATCATTTGAAAATGGTTTTCATGGAAAAAAACATTTAAAAGACAAATGTTTTTGAAGAACTTTCACACTGTGTTAAAACAAACTCTGCTGAGCACCATTTGTGTTGGTTTCAAAACTGCCAGTTGAGCTCTGGTGAGAATCAGTGTGCAGGATTTCATGACAGTAGATACGGTCATGTGAAAAGGAAAGTTTACACACGGCTCTGTGATTAAATGGCTTATAGGACCACCTTTAGTTGTAGTAACTGGAAGTAATCAGTTTTTCTATGACTGTATAGGTTTCTCACATCAGTGTTTAAGAATTATTGCCCACAATGTTTCTTCAGTTCATTGATGTTTGTGAGGGTTTTTTCACAGCTGTCTTAAGGCCCCACCACTGCATTTCAGTCAGGTTGAGGTCTCTGGACTCTGACTTGATCATTTCAGCACCATGATCCTTTTTTAAATGCTGCTCTATTGTAGATTTGTTGCTGTTTTTGGATCATTGTCCTTTAGCCTGACCCAATTTGGGACAAGTTTTATCTATCACACAGATGTCCTCACATTTAACTCTAGGTTACTCAGTGACTGCAAGGTGCCCAGGTCGGTTAAAGCAAAACAAGCCCAGCTGTGCTGATAGTTGCTGATGTGCTCTGTTTGGTTTTCAACAACATAACGTGACCATTATGGTCAAACATCTCCTCATTTGGTTTGCCTGTTGAAAAGATATTGTTCCAAAACAATTGTGTGGGTTTTTTTCTCTCAGATGCAACTTTGCAAAATTACCGTATTTCCCGGACTACAAAGCACACCTGAATATTAGCTGCACAAGCTAAAATCAGCGGAAAAACCTGTTTTGTACATACATTAGCCGCACCTGACTAAAAGCCGCAGGTGTTTCAATGTTGACTTATCATATGTAAGAGAATATGCACAAAGGGAATTGTCAGGAAAGAGATGGCTGTTTGGAGACACACCCCTTTTATTAATATTTTGAAAAACAAGTTATGGGTACATATTTGCATAACTTTTTAGGTATATGTACAAGTAGCGGTAATTACAAGTAGGAAACATGTACTGTGCTTCATAAATGAGTAACAAATGTAGTACATAACAGTAACCTACAGCACACCAGAAAAATAGATTCGGACTACCTTTTAGGCTCAGGTGCAGTGACACAGCTTTAACAAGAAGAAAAGTCAGTGATTCACCACCATCTTCCTGCGCACTAAAACCACCAAAGTCCTCTTCTCCAGTGTCGGATATGAACAGGCTCAGGATGCCTACGTCCTCCACTCTCCGCTTCTCTCCTTCGTTGTCACTTTCAAAACAAAAGAAATCCTCGTTGTCAGTGTCAGAGTCGAACACCCTCAGAAGGGCCGTGGCGGTGTCCTCCTCTCCATCATGCAGCAGTCCAGCCCTTCGAAATCCGTTGGTGATCGTGGATGTTTTCACACTTTTCCACGCTGTCAGAATCCACCGGTGGAGTTGAGCATAACTTGCTTTTCGCAAGTTTATCGCCGCTCGTCATCCACGACTCCCGCTGAACGCATAGCGCTACTTTGAAGTTTGTTTTTCGCGCTACTTGTACAGCACTATGTTGCCTGTCGGATGGACATGTGACCAACATACCACTCTTGAACCCCGATACTGTGTGTCTGATCACATGCCCTTCCGCCAGGCAACGTAGTGCCGTACAACAGCGGAACAAACAAAACAAATCGTCTTACAATATGACAAAAATCATGGATAATCCATAGAAAAGCCGCACCTGACTAAAAGCTGCAGGGTTCAAAGCTTGTGCAAAAAGTAGCGGCTTATAGCCCGACAATTACGGTAAGCCATGCTGCAATGTTCCCTTTAAAGAGAAGCAGCTTTCTCCTGGGAACTAAATAAGCCATACTTATTTAGTCTTTTAGTAATTGTGCTGTCATGAACTTTAACATTCAGTATGCTAACTGAGGCCTGGAGAGTCGGAGATGAAACTCTTGGGTTTTTGCCAGTTTCTCTGAGCACTGGCACAGTTTGACCTTGGGGTGAATTGGCTGGGTATCCAGTCCTGGGAACATTGTACACACCTGAATGCTCCAGATCAACAACTCGAGTTGCTCACACTCACACTTGCTGATGATCAGTTAATCAAGTGCACCCATCTGCTATTTACACTCTTAATTCCTATGGAAGCAGTGAGGGTGTACCTAGTTCTTCACAGGATTGCGTGTGAATACCTGTGAAAATGTTCTTTTTGGGACTGCATGTGGTTTTAGAGCGATTCATTCATTCAAGGCTGCTGTTAAATCCAGCTGATGATAAAGTGCTACCAGAACAGTTTTCATTAGCACATCACACAGGGATCTTTGTCTGATTGCTCACGGTCACAAAGAAGTAAAGCAGAGCCGTGCTTGTGTTTATTATATGTGTTGTAAAACTGCTTGACATAGCCAACCTAACAGTAATTGTGTCTTAATATTGCAATCAGTGAATGAAAGCCCCATTCTGAGCACCTTTATTCTGCAAGGTTTCTGTAAAGTCATGAATGAACATGTGGTGACTGTGGGCAGTCATATTTACACAATTGCTGCCCATAAATAAATCCTAAACCCTGTCACAACAGCTAAAGCATCATTTTAGTGATGTAATGTTTTTTTCAACAACACTTTTATAATATAAGTTATGTGTGTAATTCATATATCATGTGAGCAGAATTTCAATGTTGACTGTGTCTGTGTGTGAGTGCAAGCGGTTTTAGGTTGAAGGTTGTTCAGTCTTCAGACAGGCAGACGATGTGCATCCAGCCAACAGCTGAAAAGATATGTCAAGGTTAGCTCAGGGAGGTGGAAAGCAGCCCCCCACCCCACCCCCCGCCTTTTTTTTTTTTTTGCTTCAGTAGAGGAACATGCATCAGAAATGAAGGTTTTTGGAGCGATGGAGAGGAAGACTGACTGAGAGGCGCAACAGTGACAGGAAGGGGCACATGCACTGTAGACAGGCAGGAGAGTAAGAGGACCTTGATCCGTGAAATGGGTTTTAGTCTTTGAGCGAGAGTTGATTACTAGGTGTGTTTTCACTCAGCCTTCCCCCCGTCTATCTGCTTTTCCAATTAGTAGATAAGACGGAGTCAATATCGTGCAAGGGAACGTGTGGCTGCGTGTGTGTAGGAGTGCATGCATTTGTGTCTATTTCACTGCGTATTTGTGTGTGGATCAGCAAGTTTAGGGAAACTGGCTGAATTCATCACAAATGAGGTTGTCATTAGCTGATACTCTAAAGGGGAGGAAAAACTCACTTATGGTTTTTTAAGGCCCGAGCACTGACAGTGCGAAGGCCATATTGTAATTAATTCGTTGCATTATTATGTTTCTGTCAAATGAATCTGGGGATTTTACTTTAATAAACTCCTCATAGTTTAATGTAATCATCTTCATATTTGATCATTTAGCATGACCAAAAGACTTTGGTCATGCTAAATTGTGAAGCTTTTGACTTTCTTTTGATTGCCGTGTCCGTGATGCAGTGGTGAGTTTTAGTCATTCAGCATTAAATTTTAATGTGTAATTCACACATAAATTGTCCAACTAGCCCCAAGCTTGACGTGATTTATAAGAGTTCATATATGACAGTATTTAACATGTTTTACACTCTGATCGAGGCAGGATCAGCGCATTAAATTTTGACCAGATAACCATCAAAGAGTTGATGTTACGTTATTATGAGGGCTGTGAGTTTTTATTAAATGGTGGATCCGCTGGTGGCATTCCAGACTTTGATGTGCTGCCACGAGGAGCCAAAATAGTATAACTGAAATAGCTTTTGTTCAGTCTGTTCCAAACTTGACACTTAATAAGATTCAGACATCTATATCCCAATAGTCAATGATATTTTGAGCACCAGCTAGTGGGAACAGGAAATGTCAATTTTACTTTGATGAACTCCTCACAGGTTCACCATATTCACCTGAAAGGTTCTGCGAGTAAACTTCAAGCCTTCAGTTCAGCTCAGCTTTATTTCCATAGCACCAAATCACAATAGTTACATCAAGGCGCTTAAAGCCTTGATTATGCTTTAGTGTGAAGATTATGGCAGTCCACCCTAGGGCCATGGAAATTCTCCATGAATCACCTTTCGTGCAGTTTATATTTAATGGCTTTTACACGTCAGTGTGGCAAAATGGCTGTTTTGTGCCACCTACAATATTTCAGTGAAGCCACCCCAGCACCATATTTAATCTGCATTTATGTTGTTTTGTCTTAAGATAGACAAAAAGCCTGGAGCTTTGAGCCATACCTTAGGCCCAACAGGAAGTCAGGCATTTTCAATGTAACATGCAGTCTTGGCAGAATTATGACCATTTTCTTGTCTTGGACTTTAACAAACTTGTGCAAGAGATTTAATTTGATGAGCTTTATATTTTGTCAGGTCACTCTAAAGGGCACCATGTAGTCGGCCAAGGAAATGATCTGGATCATTTTTGTGCAGCAGGCCTTATGACATCCACACGCCCCGTCCGAAGATCGCTACTTTCTGACGTTACGGTCACGCCTGTGTGTGTGTAATTCTATATGTGTCTGGGTGGATTTACAGTATGTGAAAATACTTTTCTTGACCACACCTTTCAGAAAAGCTTTTTTTTTTTTGGTGATGACTACATTGTTGTTTTTGTTGTTTTTTGAGAATGCAGACTTTTATTGGTGTGTGTGTGTAATGTTGCAACAATAATGCTGTTTAATTAAAGCCAGCGCGCACGCCCATGTTTAAATATCCCCACAATTCCCTGCTTGAAGACGCAGCCTGTAACTCATTAGCTTGCTTTGCCGTTGCCAAATGTTGCTCCGCCACCCTGACTGTTCGAGTGCACAGGGCTCCCTACAATTGCTCTTTAAAAAAAAAAAATGCTAATACAAATAAACATGTTTGCAACTGGCTGTGTATAGACACACGGTCTTCTTTTTCCTCTGCTACACACCAAAGATCATGCCTTAACTCATGTTTTTTTCATGTGAGCGAGAAATAATGAGCCGCCTTAGAAAAACATTAAAAGACTCAAAGGCTGTCTCTGTTTTTACAGTGAATCATCTTGTGTGCTCATCGACCTCCCTATTTTCGAGCATACGAACATGCACACCCCAAACACTGAGAATTACTTCGTGTTTTTAACGTGCTCCACGGGCAGCTGCAGGAGAGAATACACTCTTGACCTCCTCTCCTCTGTCGCTCTTGCATTCCTTGAGTCAGAATCAACCGCAGAGAGAGCGAGGAAGCATTCCAGCGCTCAGGATGATCACAAGCAGGAGGGGGAGTTATAAAGATGGAGGAAATCAGATCCTATTCCATTTGGCTCTTGTAAGAGCTGAATTTGTTAGAGGAAGGATGTCGGGCTGCTTTCAGTTTCGTCCTCCAACACTTAGAAAACACTTAGAGTGTGAGACAGTTTTATATCGGGCTTGCATGCAGGTGTCATGGCAGGCTACGATTTTTGCTTGACCTACAGATGTGTGTACAGATGATTCGGTCTGCTCTAACTCTAACCAGGTGACCCACAAACCCATACTTAATATATGTTATTCACAGGGATTTTCGTGGAACATGTTGCTTAATTTTGGTAAACATAAACCTGTAAAGAAATTACTTAAAAAAAGAATATTGTATGTAGTATGAATAGGTAGTCCATTTACTGTAGTCTGTGTAACACTGAAGTAAAGCAGTCAAGGCCAGCAGTAAGGAGTTTTAATGTGACCCCTAAACTGATTTTGATGGTTTTTATAAACTCAAGCCAACCTAAAACATAGTGGAAGAATTTCTGGAAATTCATTTTAAACGTTTATTTGTAGGAGCGGGTATCTGTGCTGCTTTACAGCTAGTGCAATAAAACGTTATGAGCAAATAAAGGCAGCTACAGTGAAGAGACTGTGTTGGAGTAGCTACATCAAGCAAGAAGGCTGACAAGAAGACATCGGAAGGCTGATTTTCATACTGAACTGAAATCAACCTTGAAATTGTCAGATTTATTTAAACGGTGCAAACTTCGTGCCTAAATCCTAAAGCGTCAGACATACAGGCCAGAACTCAGCCGACAAAAGGTCCAATCCAGGGGACTGGATTGCTTTGCGAACTGGAAATTGCAGATAAGAAGAGAATAACTTTTTATTGTTTTGCACCAGGAAGTATTTTGTCATAAATCATTAGAAATGGATCAAGTCTTGAGGGAGATTGTCTGAACTGTTAATTTAATTGGAGCCAGAGGTCTGAATCATCATCAGTTTTACAGTCTGACAAAGACATTACCTATGGCCTGCCATGCCGCACTGAAGCGGGATGCTTCAGCCAAGGAGCCGTGCCCACACATTATTTTGATTTATGACAGGAGCGTTTCTTTGTAATGACAGTGGACTGACTGAACGTGAATCATCTGTTTTATAGCTGGATGGTTCATTAAGTGTGAGCCTTTTCAAAATATGTTTGGACTTTTTTGCACTAAAAGAAAGGGGGAAATCTGGGGGTGTTTTTTTTTTTTAAATATATAATTGGGTATTATGCAATGTTTTTACTGAGATCAAAGATCAAACTGCGTATGTGTGAGGCCCAGCCATGAACAGAAATAAGCTTGATACCTAAGGAGTGTATACCTGACAATTTGACCATTTAAAATGAAGTGTTTCTCTGGAAATACTGTGGAGAGAGATTTAAAAAGATGTGACTGTCTTCACTGTGCTAATATTTGTCGTCTTGTGCCTGTTGTCCTGTGTTAGACAACTGCATCCTTCACTGTCTCTCAGTAAGAGAGTTTGATGTGTGCACTCAACACTGCAACGAAAATGACTCGCACTCTAATTAATATCACTAATCAAGTGTGATCATGCTGACCCACTAATTCTGTCTTTCTTGGTCTAAATCTGGGGATTTACGCTCGGATACTCGTTTATTATTCACTCTGTTTTCTTTGAAGTTGATTACGATGATTTTTCACAAGAAGCAAAATAATGATCTGAGTGATTTTAGGACTAATGTCTAATGTGGTTTAGTTGATTTTTTTTTAAACTCTTATATAAAGTCGATGTAGCTGCAGCTCTCACAGTCGCACAGAGCCCGGATTGTTATGTGTCTCCTAGGATTTTTCTTTTTCCTTTCTTTGTTCGGTCTCTGCAAGTTCATGTTTGTCTGTTTAAAATCAAGTCTGCGTTTTCACTTACTGCCTGTATTGTTGCCTTTTTTGAAGCCTTGTCTGCTTTTAGTTTTTGATGCATCTCGCACACCTTTTCTTTTTGCTCCTTTGTATTTTTTGTTGTTTCTGCTTCATGTTGTATGTTCAGCTGTTTCATCATTTGTGCTGTGCAGTTATGCCCTCTTGAATGAGCTTGCCTTGTGCTAAGCAACTTTGTATCATTCTACACACAAAGCATTTGGTGACATTGAAGATTTCTGAAATTTAGAACTAATTAAAATAAGCAGACTGTAGATTAATAACTAATTTAAAATATAATTCAATCTCTGAAATAATGCCAAGTCTGTTTTATAGATACAAATTGTTATACATTGTATCAACCTTTTTCTAATTAGTTCCAAACTTTTTGGCCCAAAGTCTTTTAGAATACTGTAAATAAATGATGTACCAAGCTACTCTGACATCGTTCATTAGTTTTTCTTACTTCTGTTTTGGGTTGAGCGTTCTACTCTGACACCATTTGAGCTCGTTTCTGCCTCTTCTGTCGGGAGTCTCATTCTCTCAGTCACTACCCACTGCCTGTGGCCTTAGGTAACAGTAGGAGCGTAGATCCCTAAATGGGCCAGACAAATATAAAATAACATCATGCTTGTTTGACCGTCACTTTAAACATTTGGCTTAGACCATTAACTCATGAGGAACATGTTTAATGAAGTATTAAACAACGTGAGACAATCTATTTTCTATTCTCTAATAGACTTCTTTTTGTCCATTAGGTTTATTTAACTTCTGCATTTCTGACTTCACTTTTCAGACCAAGAGTCTACATCTAAAAAAAATTTAAGGAGTTTCTTTTTGAATCATATCTGTTGTTCCAGAAGTAGATGAAAGGTTCAGGTTGATATCATATATTCTGTGTACAAGATTCTGGCTTTAATATCATGTCAGTTCTACTGTATGTCTTCTGGACCAGTTCTGTTGTGGCATCTCTTTGAGAGATGCAGTTAGTTAATAGCATGTCTCTGGGCCTTCTAAGTTTTTCTTTCTGCTTTAATTCATATGGGTAGCAGACCAAACTTGCAACCAAAGATTTATATATGTAGAAATATGCTTGTAAATATTCTTGTATTCTTGCAGCATGGAGTTGACCCTTTTGATTATTTTTTCCATGTTTTTGATTACTCGCTTTAGGTGCAAGAACAAGTTATACCCCGATAATCTTCCTCGCACCAGCGTTGTGATTGTATTTCACAACGAGGCGTGGACCACGCTGCTGCGAACCGTCCACTCCGTGATTGACCGCTCTCCGCACACACTGCTGGAGGAGATTGTTCTGGTGGATGATGCCAGCGAGAGAGGTAAACTCACACACACACACGCACAGTAACACTCACTGCAGATAATTCCTTCAGTCTCTCTCTAGTTTGAGGCTTAGCCTATTTTTTAGAGCTATGATTTTTGCTGGATTCTGCGTAGGTAGATGTTTTTGCACATGTGTGTATGTGCCTGTGCTGGTGCCCAAGAGAGAGTCAGTGCATGTATGAGGGCTGTGTGTGCCACTCCACCCTGTGCAATACTGTTAATCCCTGTTTGGGGGAGATTAGGTCTTTAATTTGCCAGACGCAGGGATTACACTCTGTTATTACCCTCAATCCCCCACCCCAACCAACTACCACCAGCAGAAGCAACCTTACGAGACCTGAGGTTAGATGGTGCAGGTCACGGATTGTGTGTTTATGTTTGCACTTGTGTTCAAGCTGATAGAGAAGCTCCTAGCAGGTACAAGAGGTATCGTATGAGAAGGCCACATACGTGAAAGAAAGCACGCAAGCGCACAGTTATCTCTGATCCCTGCTGCTACAAATGGAGTGGGTTGGAGGAACAGCTTGTAATCCAGCTTTTGTTTTGTAGGCGCCCGTTTTGCATTCTTATCTGTTTATATATGCATTTATTAGATTTCCTCAAACAGCAGTTGGAGAGGTATGTGAGAAAATTGGAAGTCCCCGTCAGAGTCGTGAGGATGGAGCAGCGGTCCGGGCTCATCCGCGCACGCCTCAAGGGAGCGTCTATCTCCACTGGCCAGGTGTGTGCGCATGTCCACATACGAGACATCCACAGCAACTGCTCTCCATATTGTGTTTGCACTGTAGATTTGTCTTATGTTTTCCCTCCATGTTCTCAGGTCATAACCTTTCTGGATGCTCACTGTGAATGCACAACAGGATGGCTGGAGCCTCTGCTTGCCCGCATCAAACAAGACAGGTAAGGCACACAAACACGAAAGATACGCAGACCATTGGCAAGCCTGGAAAAGAAAATCAATAAAGTATTGTTGAGCCTGCAGGGGGCTTGCCCTTGTGTTTATCTTACGCTTAATTACTCATTCTCTATTTACTGCTACCCGTAAGCAGGTATACACACACACACTCACACCAGCACATGGAGAAAACGCACAGGGTTTACAAAGGTGTAATGAGAGATGAGTGACAGCTGGTGAGAAGTTGGTTCTGGAGGTGACACATCTTGCAGATGAGCTTTTAGCCTTGGTTGATGTCCACCCAGGGTTATGAACAGCAGGTTGATGTACTGTGTTTGTGTGCTGATGTCTTTCTGTTTACTGTAGGAAAACAGTGGTGTGCCCCATTATCGACGTTATCAGCGATGATACCTTTGAGTACATGGCAGGCTCTGACATGACATACGGAGGATTCAACTGGAAGCTCAACTTCCGCTGGTACCCTGTACCTCAAAGGGAGATGGACCGACGCAAAGGAGACCGCACGCTGCCTGTCAGGTGGGTGATACACACAGCAAGATGAGTCTTTAAATTTCATTGCTATTATCCTTTTCATACTTATAAAACAGACTGACAGCAGTTTCTATGCTTCAAGTTAAGTCTTTTCATTTTACCAAAGGACATCTATGACCCTGGGCTAGTCCTGACCTAACTAAATTCTGCAGAGAGGCCCTTAAATCTTACCCTTTGATCCATGTAAACTATTACTTTTGCCATACAGTCACAGCTGATACCACAGTCCTCCTACTGCAACCCTCCATCCTTTGAAACAGTTTGCTCCATCTTTCAACCTGAAAATGAGTCCGACACTCAAAAGCCACTAAATTTGGTACACCCCATCAGAATAGGGAGAAAGGGTGATTTAAGTGACTTTGAAGGAGTATCTGCTAAACCACCATCTGGTTTACACAATATAATGCAAAAAGGAGAAAACGGTGAGTTTAAATTATCTGGGGAAAGTGCCTTGTTGTTGCCAGAGGTCAGAGGAAAATAGACGGAGACTGCTTTGAGCTGATAGGAAGGCAACAGTAACTCAAATGACTAAGGTATTTTGGAAGATATGCAGAAGAGCATCTCTGAATGAAGCAGATGAGCTGCATCAGCAGAAGACAACACCGGGTGCAACTCCTGTCAGCTAGGAACAGGAAACTGAGGTTACAGTTTGCTTGTGTTCACCAAAACAAGATTGGAAGATTGGAAAAATGTTGCCCGGTCTAATGAGTCTCACTTTCTGCTATGACATTCAGTTGATGATAGGATCAGAATTTGGTCTGAAAAACATGAAAGCATGGATCTATCCTGTCTTATATCAGCATTCAGGCTGCAGGTGGTGATGTAATAGTGTGGCAGATGTTTTCTTGGCAAACTGTTTTCCCTTTAGTACCAACTAATAATCATCAAAAACCAAAGCCTACATGAGTATTGTTGCTGACCATGTCCGTCCCTCTATGACCACAGTCTACCCATGCTCTCATCACTGCTTCCAGCAGTTCACGATAGTATATTGCGGCATTAAAGCCAAAAGTTTATTTTGTGCAATTGCATATGGACACGTTTACACACAGGAAGCAGTTATCTTTTCCAAGTTGCAGTTGATGAACACAGGTTACCGTTTCAGGATACTAGTTTATTTCTGTATTTCACACTGGCTTTTGTCAGGCACAAAGACACAGAAACAGCACAGCGGTTGAAAGCAAACAGCAAAGTGTTTTGTTTTGTTTTAAATCTTTCTTATCGTGACTCAAAGGATAGTTAAGCCTCATTCATAGATGTTTTAAACACTGACACCTGCTTTTACGTAGAGAAGGAGCCACCCAGGTCCTCTGCTCACACTGTGAGCTCCTGGCTGCCCAGTTCTGCATAAAACTCACTGATTGTGATATGTCGCCTAAAGGCCTTTACATTCTTTAATCAGAAACACTTAGGCACTGCGCCTAAGCCTTCCTATAGCAGACAAAAATCCTGAACTCTTTATCTTTTTCAATCCCTGTTTATTCTATGGCTGCTACAACAGTGTATATGTTACCATTCAGTTTGCTGCTGCAGTTCATCATAAGAGGTTCTCAAGGCAGGAATACTGAAAGAATAGAGTGAACTTTCCACTTCTGTTCAATGCAAGATGTTTATGTAAGATTGTGTTTTTTGTTTTGAGGGGCTTTTTTTGTTGTTTGTAGACCTTGGAACTAAAATCAAGAGCTTATTTCTGCCTGTCTATCATCTCTTTTTCCTGCTCTTGTTTCTAAGCATGCTTGATGCCAATATTCAAGGTCACACACACACACACACACACATAATGTAGCTTATGTAACACCCCGCGCCCCCGATTTCGGTTGTTTTTCTCAGTTCTGCTTGACAAAATTTTCCTCAGGGTGTCTTTTAAGTGGCCTAAAAAACAAAACTGGGTTGTTGTGTCAGGGCAGAAAATTAATTTCTACTAATGACACAATTTACATAAAAACCCTGTTCTGCCACAGAGCGCTTTCACATTATTGCACGTATGGAGTTTGCAGAATGAAAAAAACTGTAACGAATAATGCTGATGTGGTTTCAAGCTTCCACGCTTGCATTTGCTGGGGGAATTTCTCTTCATTAGACGATGCAAACTGCAGGTCTTTTGCTGTCACTCTCTGAGGAGCTGCATATGTTGACAGCAGAGGAGGAAATCAGCAGCTAAGCTAGTTATTATGGGCTCATCTACCTTGTAATTTACGGCAATGTGCAGAAGTCTCTACTCACTTGGGAAGGTTGTATTTGCCACTGTTGGACTTTAAAAAAATACAACAAACAGAAAAGATCTGAAGAAATTCTCTGAACTTGCTAAATGTGTCATTTTGATATTGTATGCTTCAAACACAAAGCTGAGTATTACCCGCCTTTTGATGCTTTATACAGTGGCAGTGTTTGTTTATTTCAGTCTTGTGATATGTTGAGATGATGAACCACGCTTTTATGTACGTAAGGGCCGGTCCCTGTTTAGATAAATGACTTTAATTAGAATCCAGGATTTGCTGTAAATTAGTGGGTTTTCTTTGTTTTACTGCGACGTGTTTGAGTGTCGTAGAAAAAAGTGATTTATTGTAAGCTGGGGCATTTAGAAAGCTTTGATATCTCTTCACGAAAAAAGGAAAGGATACATAGATCTGTTGTGTTGGCTTCGTCGTTATTGTCTTTTGTTATAAAGCCACATTTTACGAACTGTTTGACGAACTGTTTTTCCATTTCTGGGTTGCTTATTATTTCCCGCTCTTAGCCAGTTGCTGGTCATACACCATCAATCTGTGCACGTTCAGGATATGTTTGTCTGTTTGTGTTCTTGTAAGAGATTTTAAGCAAAAGCGAAAACAGGCAGTGGAGAAGAATAAGCTCTAAAGAGGAGGAAGCCGTTCTGTAAGCGGGAGGGAAAATGGAAAGAGGTCTCGAGGCCGTTTAACTCTGACATGACTGTCACAGCAACAGAGAAGAGAGGAGAAAAAACAGGAAATCAGCAAATAACAGGGAGTGAGAGGAGTGAAATATAAAACCCTGATGGAATGTGTACATACTGGATGACCTTTAAAAGGCCGGCCGTCAGTGATTTAAGTGGCACTAACCTGCCTTTCTCCTAATTTACCTTTTCTCTGATGTCTCTGTTCAGGACTCCCACCATGGCAGGCGGCTTGTTCTCCATAGACAGAGATTATTTCCAGGAGATTGGCACATATGACGCAGGCATGGACATCTGGGGAGGAGAGAACCTGGAAATCTCTTTCAGAGTGAGTGAACACACCCACTGACAACTGACATGACTCTATTCTTCCATTCAGAAGTGTCAGCTAGGGTTCAAAAACACACACAGATGTTACACCTCTAGATTGACTTCTCTGAATAAATTGTTGACCTGACTAAGACTTCGTCAGACGTCATCCCGGCTGGCGTTGAGTCAAATTTATTCAGACTGGCACAGCACAGCCGGGACCAGTCTGCGTCATCCATCTCCCAGCTGAGTTCACTGGTCTGTCTTAGCTCGTTCAGCGCCCAGGACTTACAGTGTGTCTACTCTGCAATTTATTCTCTAAATTAGTGTTGACAAGGCTTGTTTCTCATAGATTTGGCAGTGTGGCGGGACACTAGAGATTGTCACGTGCTCTCACGTGGGTCACGTCTTCAGAAAGGCGACGCCCTATACATTTCCCGGAGGAACGGGACAGATCATCAACAAAAACAACCGGCGTCTGGCAGAAGTTTGGATGGACGAATTTAAAAACTTCTTCTACATCATCTCTCCTGGTGAGTTTTGCCACATTTTGTGTGTTTGTGTGTGCGCGTGTTTGCGTTCATGTATGTGCTCGTGTGTGGAGGTTAATCTCTGTGACAGGTGTGATCTATCCATTAACCCGCTGACTGCGTGATATTGCAGTGGTGACCCAACAGTGCAGGATGGGGGGAGGCGGGGAGTAATTTCACGCTACAAAGCATGCGTTAACTTGCATGAACACACACACACACACACACACACACACACACACACACACACACGCACACACACACACACACTCAGACACACACACAGACACACACACGACAACACACACACAGACACAGACAACACACACACAGACAAGCAGAGCTAGCTGAAATGATGAAGAATATTTTTAGATGCGAAGCACCTAATGGGACACATTTATACCTCTCTCACTTTTGTTGACAGGAGGCGCTCTTCTGTCTTTCTTACGCTTGTTTCAATAACCTGACCAGTTGTTTAATAGAGGTCTTACAGAGCTGGAAGAAAGCATCAGCCCTAATTAGATCAGTTCCCGGGCATAACAATGAGATCATAATTCAGTTCTGTTTTATTGAGTTTTATTTATATATCACCAAATCACAGCAACAGTGGCCTCAAGGCGCTTTATATTGTAACACTACAGTAATAGAGAGAAAACCCCAACAATCAGACGACCCCTATGAGCAAGCACTTGACAATAGTAGGAAAGGAAAACTCTGTTTAACAGGAAGAAACCGGGCTCAGGGTGAGGCAGCCATCTGTTACGAGTTGGAATTAGACAAGGAAGACAGGACAGAAGAGAGACACAGATTAATAATAACTAAGAATTAAATGCAGAGTGGTGTATAAAGAAATAGAGTGGAAAAAAGTGATTAAAGTTAAGAAGAAACACTCCAGCCCTAACTATAAGCTTGATCAAAAAAGAAAGTTTTAAGCCTAATCTTAAAAGCAGAGAGACTGTCTGTCTCCTGAATCCAAATTTGATGAGCTTTTAACCTGAATGGATACATGAAAGCACAGATATAAGGGAAAGTTATAGTTGTAATAGTGGCCCAAAGTTAAAAGACAAAGCTAATAATTGAAGTAATTGAGTGCATGATTTCCCATGGTCCCGTCCTGCTGACTGAGTATGTAAAGGTACTGTACTGAAAAAACAAGAAGTGGACTGTCTTGCTAGACGGGCCAGACTTGACTGAATTCAAGCCAAAGGGCCGCACCGTTTCTAAACACAATTCAATCATAACTCAACAAAATGACATGAGTAGCATCTCAGCGTTACAGGGTTTTTGTTTTTTTATTTGTAAGCATAAAACACATAAGTAGAAACTGGACCTCCGCAGTGTGCTAGCTCCATTTTCGATGTAGTTACTATCAGTTATTATATGAAAAAGATGATTGACCTCCATTGCTCTTCATCAGGTACTGTTGTTGTCATTGTTGGGTCATTTTCAGCCCAGGTGTTACAACTTATTTCATGTTCTTTTCCAAAAACAAAAAGCGATTTAGCAGTTTTGAACGTTTGGCTGCTTCAGATCAGCATGTGGGTTTTTTCTGCTCAATCCTGACACAGTTTAAATAAAGCTTATACACACGGGGGGAATGGCAGCATGCAGTGTTTTGTTTGACCTTTGTGTGTGTGTGTGTGTCTGCGTGTCCAGGTGTGACCAAAGTAGACTACGGTGACATCACGTCTCGCACTGCTCTGAGGCAAAAGCTTCAGTGTAAACCCTTCAGTTGGTACCTGGAGAACATCTACCCTGACTCCCAGATCCCTCGACATTATTACTCCCTGGGAGAGGTACACTCGCTCACACAAGCAACACTTGAATCTGTATGGATCAAACAGTGTGGGTGTATATTCAAGCAATGAACCTGCTTCCTGTGTGTTTGGCTCAGATCCGTAATGTGGAGACTAACCAGTGTCTGGACAACATGGCCCGCAAGGAGAACGAGAAGGTCGGCATTTTCAACTGTCACGGGATGGGAGGCAACCAGGTAACAGAGAAATAACAAAACGCTGTAACTACACATGAATTAAAGTGTAAATGTTGATCACTGTTGACATCAGAGTTATTCTCGGCACAAAAAGAGAGAAAGTCTGTGGGTGATGTGTGCAGGTTTTCTCCTATACGGCCAACAAGGAGATCAGGACAGATGACTTGTGTCTAGACGTGTCCAAGCTAAACGGACCCGTCATGATGCTCAAGTGCCATCACCTCAAAGGCAACCAGCTCTGGGAGTACGACCCTCTGGTAAGTGGAAGACATAATAAAAAAAGCATTTTCTCAAAGTGATTCTGAAAAGCTGGTTAATATGTTCATCACCTGGACTGTTAGAAGTCATTATTATACCGTAGTCTTATTATAAAAGCAGCCTGAAAAGCCTTCAGTGAAACCACAACACTACAGTTAAAGATCATATTTCTCCCATATTAGCTTCTCTTCAAAGTTTAAAATCTTCCTGCTCATGTATAAAACCTTGAAGAATCAAGGTTTTGCCTACTAGGGGTAATTCTTATTTCTTTTTTCTGAACTGAGGGGTTTCTGTCAGATTTCATATTTATGCCTGCTTCCAAAATAAAACAACAGCCAATGAGGGTGATCTCTGCCTGTACAGCCTACCTGGGCTACCAGTGGAAAAAACATTTCTAATGGTCGACAGAGCATTTCTGTAGGTTTGGAAACTCTACATTAAGGGTACAGAGGAGGTCATCAGATGTTGTCTTTTTGTGAAAACTGGAAGCTGGTGTCAGGTGACCCTGAAGACTTCCTTAATCATGCAGCAACAGGCCTAGGATGCTGGGAGGTTCCCATGATGCACTTTGTCTTCTTCACCACTGCTGTATTTAATCATTAGTAATTATTAAACTCTGGTTCTCTCCCATAGTGTGTCCTTCGTCCTGCCTCTCTCTTTCCTTCTCCCTGACTGTTGGGGTTTTCTCCTGAATGCTGTAGGGTCGTACCATTATACTGTAGGTTTATAGCTTACAGTATAAACACACTGAGGTTATTGTTATTGGGAGTTGGTGCTATATAAATAAAACTGAATTAAATTGAATACTGTGAGCTCTCACAAAGGTCTTGACAGGCACAGAAAATAGTTCATTTACAGCAGGAAAACCTAGGACGTTAAATTCCCTTCCAACTTTATTTTTAAGGCACTTTAAAACACCAACGGCTGACACAGTGCTGTATATTAGAAATAAATAAAATAGAAAGACAATAAAATATAATGGGCACAGTGGTTAGCACTGTTGCTTCACAGCAAGAAGACACTGAGTTGAATGGTTTGTCTGTCTCTCTGGGTTAGCTCTGCGACACACTGTCGACCTGTCCACGGTGTACTCTGCCTCTCACCCTTTGGTAGCTGGGATAGGGTACAGCCCACCCAGCACGATAAACAAGGATGGATGGACAGTAAAATGGAACTAAAGGGTGCAAAACGACACAAGTAAAAATGACCATCATACAATAAAAAGCAAATGAGATCAATGTGTCACACTGGGTCAAAGCCCAAAGGGTATAGACAGTATATTGTTGGGCAGTGTAGCTTCCTGTGAGGGTCCCGGGTCTGAAACCTAGTGAGTTTTGAGGTTTATGGACTTTGTAGTTTTATGTTTCTTGGTTTTGTTTGAGTTTACATTCATGCAATTTTTCCATTGTTCTGTTCTTAGTGTAGTTAGTCTCTAGTTTTGTATATTTTCTCTTTTGTGTCAAGTCTTCATCACCCCTCTTGTTAGGTTTGTTTAGTGTTCAGTTTTACTTCCCCCAGTCTCAGTTCCCCCCTGTGAGTTTCAGTTGTGTTCCCCACGTGTTTCCTCTCTGCCCCAATCACCCTTCTCTGTATTTATAGTTGCAGTCTTCCTCTTTGTCGTTGTCTGATCGTCTGTTTATCCCTGGTTTTGCTCTGTGTTCCTGTTCCTTTCCCTCATTAGCCTGTATTCCCCAGTGTAGACTGATTTTTAGTTCCTAGTTTTCCAGTTTTCCACTTTTTGTTTACCTTTTGCATTCAATACCAGCTCACTCTAAGTTCACCTGTGCCTGCGTCCTGCCTCTTCACAACATGTAGTCTCACAGAGCCTATTTAAATTGCAAAGACAATTTAGTCCATTACCAAGGAGCCGCAATAGAAAATGCTCTGAAAGTTATAAAAGCTCATTCTGATTCTTTCAGAATGAGCTTTTTCCAAAGCTGGAAGATGCAATATAAACAAACAAATATTCACATTGTTAAAAATGCAAATTAATGTTCAGGTAAATTCACATAAACACGCTGCTTTGCAGCAGTTTACAGTTAACTGTGAGCAAATCTATCAAAATGGATTTTAAATTAAAATATAAATAATGAATCTTTTCTAATCCCAGTGCACGTAATTCAACCTAGCATCATTTCTTGTCACAGTTTGGAGATATATCATCGTTGACTCGTTACCCAACCCAACCACAGCATTTACACCACAGAGAGCTAAAACTGAGCCTCATAGACTCTCACAGCAGAATTTGATATTCAAAGTATAACAAAGTCCATGTGCTGTTTTAACCAAAAAGACATTTACATGTTCCTTTAAATGAACCTTTCTAAAGAGTGATTTGTGTTTTTGTGCTGTGCAGAAGCTGACCCTGATCCACGTCAACAGTAACCAGTGTCTGGACAAGGCCAGCGAGGAGGACAGCCAGGTGCCCAGCGTCAGAGACTGCACGCACACACGCTCCCAACAGTGGCTGCTCCGCAATGTCACACTACCAGAGGTCTTCTGACCACACTCCTCACACTTCCAAATGCGCACATTCACACACATAGCGGCCCAGAATAAGAAATAAAGGGGAACGGATGTGATTTTTTTTTTTTTTTTCAGCACCAGGAATGAAAAAGACTTCCCTACACTGGGATTTGGGAAGGAAGGAGGACAGATTGGACGGTACTACCTCTGCCGGACGTCAGAGGGAGGAGTGTGTACAAGCCTCCTTAAAGCGAGAAGAGAGAAAAGCCTCCCTCTGAGAGAGACGATGGCTGTTGTTTTACATTCATTTTGTTTTGGGGGTTTTTTAAAGAAAAAAGAGATTTTAACCGCGGAGAGTTGACTCGCTCACATGCGCGAATACGAGGAACTAACTGGTGGAGTCATCACAGCTTCCCCCGGACAAAGCAGTCCACCGCTCAACTCATCACTTAACGTTTACTGACTGCCTCTTACGAGAGTGTGTGCACTTATTTGTGTGTGTGTGTATGTGTGTGTGCGTGTACTGAGATGAATGTATGCTTTGAGAAGGGGACTGAATTCCTTGTTGATTTTCTTTCTTTTTTCATGTTTGTTTTATTTAATTTTTTATGGATTTTGAAAATGTACTCCTGTGAAGAAGGTTGTGCCTGTGTGTGTGTGTGTGTGTGTGTGTGTGTGTGTGTGTGTGTGTGTGTGTGTGTGTGTGTGTGTGTGCGCGTCAGAGCCAGTCCTATGGTCTTGCAGCAGTGTGTGTCTCCCTCTGGTGTTACAGTTTAGCATTTCATCTTACAGGCTGACGCCTCCGTGCAGAGGGACAACGCATACACACAAAAAAAACAAACAAAACAAGAAAGCGATCACGAGGACCCGACGTCTGCCGTCAGCAGAAATCTAGAGATAGAGAATTATGATGTTTGTGATATCTTAAGATTTCTATGTCCAGTTTTTACATGGCTTGTCTGTTTCTACTGTTTCAGTAACCCTAGTTTGTCTGTACGTCTCTGTTGTCTTTAAAGATATTTAACATAGAGCTAACACACACACACACACACACTCAGAGGATACATGAGTCTGTTACTGATGTTCACTGCCTATTGTAGTGTTCAACCACGTGGATCTCCCCAGTAAGGCACTACATTGCCACACATAAACACACAGACAGACACACATGCTGTATACATATAGGAAAAAGGCTGCCTAAGCCTGATACTTCAGTCCATTTTTGTCATATCGTCTTCTCAATGACCTCTTAAAGAAAAACAAAAACACTCCAAGGGCTTCTTTCCTCCAGCGGAGTGTGTGGATGTTTGCATTTGTGTGGGTGTGAGCGTGTGTTTCTTCAGTACTAATCCCAGCCCATTAGCTCCCTGTTTACTAGAACAAACGGCACTCCGATTCCTCGCTATTGGACGAGCAAGCACCCGTAGCGTAGACTGGCAGCAGATTAGCATACCCCTGCTTCCTCCGCCGTACTAAAAGAGCAAAACGCTGTTATTTTTTACACAGAGCCGGGTTCCCTGCACTCCCCCTGCGGACATATCTACAGCAGGAACGTGGCACCGCTATGAGAATTAATCAGGGACAGAATAAAAGCTGTAGAGAGCCAAAAGGAGGGAAAGGGTTGAACTGTGTGATTACAGAGAGCACAGCAGATGACATATCTTAATCCATTACTACATTTCTCTCACTTGGCAAGCGCACCTGCAGCATTTCACTATTCATATCTCAGTCAGAGGTAGACAGCGTGTCTTTTTCTTTTCCACTATCACGCCTTCTTTATTCTTATTCTTTGTTTTTTTGTTGTTGTTTTTTTAATCGCTTCTGCCGCTGCGAGTCAGGGCACCAGAGGTGATTTCAAAAAAGGATTTTTAAACATTTCAGCTTCCTCCAATGGAGGAAGGGTTTACACAAAGGACACGACATCAGTTCATCTTCGCCATGGACATGGCAGTGAGTGGAGGCCATCAACAGGTTGTTTTTTGGGGGTTTTTTTCATGTCTGATTGAGTGACTGTGGTGAAGACGTGAGAGGTTTTTTGATTGTAGGACAGACGGGGGAGCGTATCCATTGTTCTAAATTCGGGAGTCGGGTTAGGGGGTGGGTTTGAAATGAACTGACATGTCCAGGCTTCCACACTGAGCTGATCCAAATGTAGAAAATAAAAGTGAAAACGTTTACAGAATACTTTGAGGTGCCTGGTGATTTCTGCCTCCTTCTGTCTCCACAGACGCACCACAAACCCTAACCCTTAATTACGTAGCCCAACCAATACTGAACTTTTACAATGATGTTTATAACCGAGAGTTTAAAAACATCTAGCACTTAATTAAAAAGTAAGTGTGCAGACGCTCAGTAATGTCATAATTACATATACAAACATGGAGGTTCGTTGTCTGTGTCTTGAAATTTGTGTCTACGGTTGGTCTCCCCTGCCAAAACACATTTTTATTTACTTTAATATATTTCTTTTTTACTTTATAAAAAAGTGGCTTTTTTTTATTGCTTTGAATTGTGTATTGCAGTTTATTCTTATGATGCTTTTCCTGATCACTGGAATATTCCATTGCTCGCCATGTGCACCGTACAAATAACTCACTTGTGTGAAAAGGCAGGTAATAACTTGTGGGATCTTAAGCGCCAGCTGCTTTTTAAATTCCCCACGTTCCCCAAGCTAAAATGGCACAGGAGTTCAAACTTTGGACACATTGCACAGTACTGTATTTTGCACAAACTGCTGTTCACAACAATGAGTTCACTGTACTTCTTACTGTTAAACTGAGGAAATCTCGGGTCCTGGTAGTCGTGTGCTCTGGAAAAGTTAATGATCCAGAGTTCCTGGATCCACATCTGCTCCGGTGTCCGTGAGAGTCATGGATGTGGAAACGGCTAGGTCCACCTCACAAAGGCCCAGTGCCCTTATTCTGATGGGTAATAGCTAATTCACTGACACTAGGGGGACCCACACAATATTACAGATAGCGGAGAGTGGTTTTAGTGCAGCTGCCCAGTATAGATTAGCTCAAAAGCTCTAGAACAGGGACGTCAAACTCATTTGACATTGGGGAGCCACATGCAGCCACTTGACCACTAAAAGTCCTGTTTGTATCAACGTAAAGAAGCTTAACTACAAACTTAATCCCTGAGATATTTTAGTATTAGAAAGAAAAGCGCAATGGCAACAGTACGTCTCAGTTTTTCTGCATAACAAAGAAATGCTGCCGCAAACAAATGAAATCTCACTACGACTCTTTTGGGCTTAAATAAATAAATGTGTTTTTATTAATGACAGAAAATCTCCTACTTTTAAATTTACTACAGATCTTATCCTACTATGGATTTAAACATTGAAAGTTTTTAAAACTGAACATTTTTAGTAATATAATAACAAAAGTTTTTGATTTCCTTCAAGAACACTTTTTTATAGTATCTGAAATATTTGCTGATTCTAGTTATTGCTATCATAGTTTTTGTTACATATTGATTATGTTACATAAGAAATCCTGAATTAACAGTCTGTTGCCAAACCCCTTGAAGAACTGAGTGGTTAAAAGATGGAAGCGTATTCACAGACTCCACTGTTCACTGGGTCTGAGCTGAGATCGGCGCTGCTGGAGACACTGGTGGGTGTTGAAAAGATTCATTTCTGCTCTGCTAGAAGTGCTGCAGGAGCGGTGAGTCTGGACCGAAACATCAAGATAAACCCTGTGGGGAAGAGGCTGTCCTCGGTCCTGTTCATAAACACCGCAGGGTAGTGTGAATGTAGCCGAGTCGGGCTGCAGAGTGTTTTGTGGAGAGTGGATTATTTAAATTCCTCCACTTGATCTGCTGAATTATTCATTTGTCAGGATTAGGCCCGCTGAGAGCCACCAGGAAGACATATTAGACAACAGCGCGTTGCATACTCATCTTTGATAAACGCGGCGATGGAATTTGTTTCCTGAAAGCATCTCTTTGGTAAATAAAGCACCGGGGCGAATTCATAATAGCGCAGCTTCTCTGTCTTCAAGAAGCAGAAAAAAACAATCAGCATCTCAAAGTTTTGTGGTTTTGACAAATGTGAGATTATGAATCTCTCAGCTGGTCAGAGAAGCAGAGGCTCAGGATCAAATCTCTCTCTGCTCACGTCAGGTCCAGCCTGAAAGGAGACGCCTGTGCTGTGGTTCTGAAGTGATTGTGCCGTTCAGGAGATTTCGAGCTCGCAGAGACTTTGCTCCAGTTTATGTGCAGCGTTGTGAGTTCATGGGAGCTACGGGAGGAGTCTTTGATCTGAAGAAGTGAAGCTGAATTGAAGCCCAGAGGGAAACGGAGAGAAAAAACAGAATATTGAAGTGCGCTTTGAGCAGCAGAGTGAATTTATTAACTTAGAAGTCTGCTCATCAAATCTGTTTGTTTAAGGCTTTTGTTGATTTTTATCTATGGAGTCGTTTTTTTCTGTTTTCTGTTTTGTTTTTTAACCAACATGCTACATTTTTGGATTTTAAATCCCATAATTATGCAGAGGAAGATGTTGCAGATGTTATTGAAGTGCTGACTTTCAGCTTTAATTCAAGGGGTTTAACAAAAGAAGAATTGCATTAACGGTTTGGGAATTACAGCTCTGTTTATACACAGTCCCTCATTTTTATAAGAAATGGGAAAATTACCATAATTATATTTTTAGTCTTGGACTCACAGACATCACCGGGTGCTGTGTTACATCTCTGCCAGGCCTTTACTACAGTTTCTGCTTGTCTCTAGGTCTCTCTGTCTTCAGTTGTGTAGTTAGTAAATGAAAAGCATGCTCTACTACAACTCTTCAGTTACGATTCATGCACACGCCATTACAATTCCTCCACCATGTTTGACAGATGATGTGTTATGGTCTAAGGATCTTGGACAAAAAAGTGTCTGGACTTCTTTAAGTTTCTTGAAGACACTTCTTAAAGAAGTCCTGACGCTTTTCTTTCCGAGCTCCTTGGACTACGATGACCTGGATGACTGAGAACCTTCACAGACATGATGTGTTATGCTTCACATCATGAGCTGTTTCTCTCCTGCATTCACACTGATGACACTGTCTCTTGATTGGAGACCCCCTCAAGAGTGCTGCTGACTCAGTTAGATGTTGTGAAGTTGCTTTTCTTAACCAGAATTCTGTTATTGTGCACTTCAGTTGTTTTCTGTGGTCTTCCAGACCTTTTGGAGTTTGTCGGTGCATTCATTCTTTGTAAGGATGCGCTAGATTGTTGTTTTGGCCTCGTTTAAAGTTTCTGACAGAATTAGTTTTTGTTTGTCAGCCTAATGATGGTCTCTTTTACTTGCACTCGACATGTATTTGGACCTGATATTGAGATTTCCAATGAAAAGACAGCAAAAAAAAAAACACAAGTTTAACACTTAAACCAAGGTAAGAAAAAGAAAATCTGTTTTCTCAGTTTGGCCCAGGACTGAATGAATTCTGTTTGTTTTTTAACAGATAAACAGTGTAAACCCTGGAAGCCTGTGGTTTCAGTGAAGATCAGCAGTCTGGTGGGGGGATTATATCTGCTGTCATTTCAGATGTCACTCTGTGGCTTTTGCTACAGCACATCAAATGCTGTGCGGTCTGCGTGTGTTTAACACTGACACTTTAGAAACCACCTTTATCAAGTGGAATTAAATTACATATTTTCATTTTATGAAGAGCTTCTTTTCTTTCCAGTAACAAACAGGAAAAAACCAGTGTTACGATTTCACTATGATTTAAGAGCGTGACGACAGGGATTTAATCAGTGTGTTTAAATAGACCGACTGTTGGCTTCAGCAGCAGCCGGAAAAGTGTGGATTTGATATTTATTCTGTCCATCTGTCCTGAGCTTTGCTGACACATTGACAATCTGTAAAGCCTTCACAGAACAGATGACACGATCTGACTCAACTCACACAAACACAGAGGGAGGATTTCATGTCTGTTTATTCAGGAACTTTATTCTTTCAGCTTCTTGGCTACTTGATTTCCACGCAAATCCCCCCCATCTTACTTTTTAGACAGGTACTCATATGTTACCAGTAATTCACTGCTTGCGATTGACTCTTTCTCAAATGTGTCTCAGAACAAAAACAAGTTCAAAAAAAAGAAAAATTCCACATATTTTAACATGAATTTTCTGCCCTCTCATTCAGCAATCACACAACCCTCCACACAAGCTGAGTTAATGTTTGCTTGGACTCCGTGATTTTTGCACACGCATTAGGAACAAAAGCCAAAGCAAATATTTTCTTTAAAGAACAGATCTGACTTCATTTGAGGGCTTAAAAATTAAATGATTCATCACTTATTTACACTGATACCATAAAAGCCTCCAAAATAAAACCCAAAACGCTTTCTGACACAGACACAATTGAGATGACCTGCTGAAGTTCAAACTGAGCACCGGGTGATTTAAGTGACTTTGAACGTGATGTGGTTGTTTCTGCCACACTGGAGTTTTTCAGAAACTGCTGATCTGCTGGGATTTTCCCACACATCTCTGGGGTTTACAGAGAATGGTCCAGAAAAGAGAAAATACCCAGTGAGCAGCAGTTTTCTGGGTGAAAATGCCTTGGCAATCAGAGCTGATAAGAAGGTAGCAAAAACTCAAATAACTACTTGATACAAGAAAGTTATGCAGAAGAGCATCTCTGAGCACATATGTTGAATCTTGAAGCAGATGGGCTTCAGCAGCAGAAGACCAGACCGGATGCCACTACTGTCATCTAAGAACTGAGGCTACAATTCACACCCCACCACCAAACAGAAGATTAGAAAAGAGTTCCCTGATCTGATGCAACACTGGGATAGTAGGGTCTGAATCTGGTGTAAAAACACGACAGCATGGATCCATCCTGCCACATATCAGCAGTCCAGGCTGCTGCTGGTGTGATGGTGGTGGGGATATTTTCTGGGCACACTTTGAGCCAGCCGAGCTTCATTTAAACAGGCTACCCAACCATGTCCATCCCTTCATGACCACTGTGTGTCCATCTTCTGATGGCTGCTTCCGGCAGAAAACACACCAAAATCAATTCACCTCAAACTGGTTTCTTGACCATGACAGTGGGTTCACTGTGCTCAAAAGGCCTCCACAGTCCTCAGTGAGTCCCATCAATCTCAGAGGAATGTTCCCAACTGCTTTTTGAATCTGTGCCATGAAGAATAAAAGCAGTTCTCTATCATATCAAGAACA